CAGATAAGAAAACGGAGCCTCAATAACCTCGCACATGCTATCAACAGAGTTTCAAAACCAGGTCAGCCTGTATGTTCTCTCTACTACACCACAGCATGTTTCTTTCATGTGCCTTAGGAAGGAGCTCTCCTTTTCTCAGATAGGAGAAAGCCAAAGTATCAAAGAAAGATGTTAAAATATCAAATTCCAATTTGGCGGATCCTCAAACGTTAAACACAGAATTACCATATGACCCAGCAATTCCACTCCTAAGTATATACCTATTCACATACCTATTCCCTTTGCAGAATAATTTGCTCCTTGGTCCTCATTTCCTTTCCCAGTTCCTCATCTGTAAACTCCATGATAGCTCACCCTCATGCGTACATGCCTATTCAGAGCAGCATTTTGGCAATAGCCAAAAGGGGAAACAGCCCAAATGTCCACCACTGAATGAACGATAAACATACTGTGGTATATGCATGCAACGGAATGTTATTCAGCCATAAAAAGCAAAATAGTATTGATATATGTTACAATGTGAATAAACCTCAAAAACACTATACTAAGTGAAAGCAGCCAGACACAGAGGAATGCTATTGCATGATTCCATTTATATGAAACATCCAGAATAGGTAAGTCCAGAAGCAGAACACAGATTTGGTTATCAGGGTGTTACAGAAAACTGGAGAAGAACCAAGCAATACTTAAGAGAGATGGCATTACATTTATTACATGAGGGTCCAGAGGAAAATGTCTCTCAAATTCTGGGCCTAACATGGAGGAATTTTCCCTATTTATATGTTTTTACCTTCTTTGTCTCCCAAATGGGGTGTTTCCGGCCCCCTTTGCAAGTTCTTAAAGAGCCCCTATGTGCTGGGGCCTTGAGACCTCAACCAAAGGTTTGGCCTGGTGCCAGCACTGATAATTTCGCCTGGGGAAGGCTTAATGGCCTCTCTGACATGGGAGTAGTCTTATTTTCCTTATTATTTAAGCAAGCAAGCATTTACAGAAGCCAAATAGCAGGGTTAAAATTTCAAACAGCGGTTTTAATATAAGATGGATGCTTCCAAGGGTTGGAGGGAAGAGGAAGTGGAGAAACTGCTTCCTGGGTAGGGAGTTTCCTTAGGCAGTGATGAAAGTTTTGAATTAAATAGACGGCGTTACATAGCATTGTGAGTGTACTAAAGGCCCCTGAATTTTAAGATGGTTATTTTTGTCATGAGAATTCCATCTCCATTTTAAATAACAAATTCCAGGAGCTATGTGGGCACTCAGAAACACCAAATGTCCTTGACACCTCGGCCAGGCCCAGGCACACAGGAGGTCTGTAGTGAATGCTTGATGCATTTCATTGGTTTTAAGGCTCTGCTAGAGCAGCTCTCTTTTGGAGAGAATATGATCAAACGCCTAGAAGCACAGACAGCTCGGGCCCAAACCCCAGATCAGCCACAGCCATGACCTTGGGTGAGTTCCAAACCTCTGTCTAAGTTTTCTCATCAGTAAAACTGGAATAACGTATCTATCTCAGAGCAATTGTTATGCATGCAAAGCACTTGAACAGCCCCTAGGACACAATACATAGCCAGTACTTGCTGCTATAATAATGGTGATTATCTGCTACAGTGGGTTCCACCGCTCTCAGTCCCTCTATTTTCAAAGGTTTTTGTCATATTATACTATCTCTCTGCAGTACATTTTGTGTTGCAGAGATCTGTTTTGCCGGGAAAGAAGCAATTATATTCAAAGTGGACTGACTTGCAAATGAGGAGACCTCCAGCAAAGAAATTGGAAGGACACTCTGGAGGACCCTTCTTGGTTTTTATTTCTCTTAGCGGCAGAGAGACCCCGGGAACCAAACCGGATCCGGAATAACTTAGAGAGGTTCCTGTTCCCTTCTGCTGCTTGTGCAACTTAGTGTATTTCTTGTGAGTTCTGTTTCTTTGGTATTTGCTCTGTGGGATGGCACTGCTCCCCTCACAGCCCCAGGCTGTTTCCTGTACCCTGAGATGTGGGAAACATTCCGCACAGCTGGCCGGCCGGCCTCAGAGGTCCACCCTGGTGCAGAAGGGTCACCAGGCTCAGAAATCATCCTGCCCCCCACTCCCGCCGCACACATACATATCAAGCTTGTACCCCTTTTCACTGCCCAGTTCACATGTTGGATTTTTATTTATTATTATTATTTGGTTAACCCTCACTTAAGGATATTTTTCCATTGATCTTTTAAAAAATATATATATTTTTTATTGATTTCAGAGAGGAAGTGGGAAAGAGAAATAGAGACATCAATGATGAGAGAGAGTCATTGATCTGCAGCCTCCTGCATGCCCCACACTAGGGAGTAAGCCCGAAACCCATGTGCCCTTGAGCCCTTGACCGGAATCGAGCCCTGGACCCTTCAGTCCACCGGCTGATGCTTATCCACTAAGCCACACCGGTGAGAGCTCCATTGATCTTTTTAGAGAGTAGGAGAGGGAAAGACAGAGAGAAGGCTTGCAATCAAGGAGCAGTGGGCAGCGGCAGCTCGTCCCGGGCTAACCCCCTGACCCTGTCTCCGAGGCCCCCTTCTCTCGGACTTCTTAGTGAGCCGAAGCAGCCCAGCCTCGGCTCATTTCCCTGCCTGGTCCCTCTAGTTGTTGTTTCTTCTATTCTAGGCCCTTCTTTGTTCACTGTCCCCAGCTTCAATAAATGTTCTCTAAACATCACCTGGACTTGCCATGTGAAATCTTTCCTGCATGAAGTCAAGAAGGCACACACTACCAGCCAGCCTAGGCAGACCCGCTCAGGGCAGGGTCCTCATTCCAGTAACAGTTCCACTGGGTGAATGAACTTGTGATTCTTCAAAGTAGTCAGTCAATTTTAGATCTAACACAAGGGGATGGGAGGATGGGTGTGGGTAATAGTTTAAATCCAGGCATGGAGTGGGAGGAGTGTGAAGGGGGCAGGAGGTCAGGGTGGTGGAGAGCATTTCAGGGTTAGAGAATGGGCTGTAAGGAGAGTAAGAGGAAATAAAGTTAATCATGGCTAGCCATGAATGCCAAGCTCTGCTAACATTTCACTGACCTCAGGTGGCTGTTGTGATACACACAACAGCCACCTGAGGTCAGTTTTCTTTAATTCCCTCTAAATTCCAAGTTCCACCAGATAAGAAAATGAGAGCTGGAGGAGTTGAGTCATTTGCTTGAGTCACTCACCGGGAAGTGGAGATTGGCTAGACCAGCATTCTCCAGGCCAGGTCTGTTTTGTCCCCGTGCTGACTGCACAGATTCCAGACTTCCCTACAGAAAGGAGCATGCCCTGTTAAGTTACATGGAGTCACCCTTTCTGGAAAGACTGACGGCAGCTGCTGCATTCCAGCCCATGTTACCTGATGTGCTTGAAGACTAGAGCTGGAACCTCACTGTGAACATCTGCAATCCTCATGCTGAGATGAGATTTCTGACTGAATTAAAAACGAGCTATTCCAAGGCCTGGCCGGGTAGTGCAGTTGGTTAGAGCATCAGCCCTATATGCAAAGGTTCAATCCCTGGTGAGGGCATATACTAGTACAAGAATGTATGCCAGGCGAAACCGGTTTGGCTCAGTGGTAGAGCGTTGGTCTACGGACTGAAAGGTCCCAAGTTTGATTCCGGTCAGGGGCATGTACGTTGGTTGCGGGCATATCCCCGGTAGGGAGTGTGCAAGAGGCAGCTGGTCAGTGTTTCTCTCTCATCGACGTTTCTAGCTCTCTCTCTCTCTTTCTCTCTGTAAAAAATCAATAAAAATATATATATATAAAAAAAAGAATGTGTAAGAATCAACCAATGAAAGCATAAATAAATAAAACAACAAATTAATGTTTCTCTCCCTCCCAGCCTTCCTTCCTCTCTCTCTCTAAACACACACACACCCTAACCAGTTTGGCTCAGTGGCTAGAGCTTCAGCCTGTGGACTGAAGGGTTCCAGGTTTGATTCTGGTCAAGGGCATGTACCTTGGTTGTGGGCATTCCCAGTAGGAGGCAGCTGATCAATGTTTCTAACTCTATCCTTCTCCCTTACTCTCTGTAAAAATTCAATAAAATATATTAAAAAATAAAGCACACACACACAACTATAGGAACAGTGACACCAAAGAACAATCCCTCCAACTGTAAGAGGCCCCACAGCCCTGTCTCTTCGTGTCTCACCAGGTTAACCGCCTCAGAGAAGCTAGTCTGCAGAGCAGCGGGGCCCAGGGGTTACACAGAGCAGTCACAGGAACTGGAGAATGTGGCCACCTAGCTGGTTGTGGGTGGCACGGGTATATTCCCATTTCTGTAAAATATAATGTAAGTATATTCAAGGAAAAATAGTTTGGACCGGTGGGGAGTCCAGGGACCCACCTTTTTCTCTACTATGCGTACCCCCAAATGTATTCAAAATGTATACAAAAATGTATAGCTCGATGGATGTTTTTTTTTTGTATTTAACCCACTGGAATTAATAATTACTCAAAGTGTGTATATATTTTGGGGAAACACCCTGTAGTTATATCTAGGTAAGCCACACACACACACACACACACACACACACACATACACACACACAAAAACCTACAAAAAAGCAAAAAAACCACACAAAAAACCTGAAGGCAGAGCCAGGCCCAACCTCAGGAAAGGCTAAGGAAGGAGGATTCCTCCCCTAACCTCTTTGGGCGGGCGTAGCCCGGGGCGTGAACAGCATTCCCGGGAGGGACACCTGGCCTCCAGGCCGCCCCGCGCCGCTCAGACGCCGCTCGGAGGCCGCCTCCCCGCGCCCAGGCCGCCCGGGAAGAGGGGGTGCGGGGCCCCGGGCCCGGAGTCCGCCCCGCGGAGCGCGCTGGGCTGCGGCGCCGCGTGACTGGCCACGTGACGCGCCGGGAGCTGCGGGCCGCGGGAGGGGTAAGTGGGGAGCGGGCTCCCGGACCTCCGCGGCCGGGCGGGGGCGGCCGGGCTCCCGCGGCTGTCCGGTCCTCCCGCACCCCGAGCCGGGACCCCGGCGACCGGCTCGCTCTCCCTCCTCGGCGGGGCCGGAGGGCAGTGGGATCGCCTTGGGGTGGGGGCGGGGGACACTCCTGAACCCCCCGAGGGCCGGAGCGGCCACTTCCGCCTGGGCCTTCCCCCTCTGGGCGCAGTGCGGGGGAGCAGATGCCTCCTGGAACGATCGCCTCCCCGTGTGCTTTGGCGGACGCTGGAGACCCACAGGCGGGCCGGCGGGTGGGACAGAACACCTCTCTCCAGCAGAGTCCATCCCCCCACCACCTGCCCTGCGACCCCAGAGGAGCCGTTGGGCCCCGCAGTTAATGAGGAGCCTGTGGGCGGAGAGTACCCAGGGGCGTGGGGGGATGGAGGGATGGGTCGAGCTGCAAGACGTTGAGTACTGTGGTTACATGCATTCTCTTATTGAGCATTCACCGTGGTGAAATTGGTACTTACGTTCCCATTTTCACATAAGAGAAAACAGGCTCAGAGAATTGGGGTCCTTAGGCCGAGGCCCTGGTAAAGGAAGTAATGAGATTAGAACTCAGCGGCGCCATCTGGTGGGTGACGGCGGCACTGGGCCCAGCTGTCAGTTCTGTGAACTGAAAGTGCCTTCCTCTTCCTGGCTCAGATACCAGGGGGACCAGGTGTTGCTGTGTGAGAGGAGCTTCTCCTCTAAACCAAACACCTGCATCCCTTTCTCCCCGCCCCCTTATAATTGAGTCCTTTCCTCGCCCGCCGTTGCAGAACAAGATGAAGCTCATCATCCTGGATCACTATTCTCAGGCCAGTGAGTGGGCCGCCAAATACATCAGGAACCGCATCATCCAGTTCAACCCAGGACCAGACAAGTACTTCACCTTGGGGCTCCCCACCGGTGCGTTATGTGATGGAGTGGGGGCCGTGGGTTGCTCAGTGGGAGGAGAGTAGGTATTAGGGGATTTTAGGGAGCCAGGACTCTGAGGGACCATTGCTGAGTGAACAACTCCCCTGCCTCCTGGACACACAAAATAGAGGACCCAGCTTCCTTTGTGGGTGGTTGGGTTGCTGCCAGCTCCCGAAGACTCCTGGAGCAGGAAGAACTTGATTTTTGGCTACATCCTACGTCAGCCCTGTCAGCCATGGGTTCCTTCGAAGGATTAAGTCCCAGTGCCTTAAGGCATACGTTTTATGTAATGAGTGAATTTCTTTTCTGGGCATCTGGAGTACTATCTAGTCCCACCATCCAGTCCGTTTCTTTGGGAAAAATCAGAATGTTGCCTTTATAGGGAGATATTTTGATCCCAGCTCCTCCAAGCAAATATCCTGATTCTTTCAGAAGCTGTCCTCTTGCCTTTTTTAATGTGTTTTATGATTCGTTCTTTAATAAGACTCAACCCGGGAGTTTGCTGCTCCTCAAAGAAGTCTTCTCTGAGCCCTCAGGCTGGCCTGTGCTTACCCCGGTCACAGCTGCAATTACTGCTTCTGGTCCCCAATCTGAGTAGCTCTCTCAGGGTGGCTGCTGTATCTCTCGCTTCTCTGCATCCCCTTCAGGAACCTCTGTGCCTCACACAGAGTAGTTGCTCAGAGAATGTCATGTTAGTAATTAAGTCTGATGTTCACTGAAGTACTAATCGCAGTCATTTCAGTCATCATCGTGCTGCACGCTGGGGATTTAGCAATGGACAAAACAGACACAGCTCTGCCCCTCTGGGGCTTACAGCCTAGTGGGGAAGTAAGCAGTAAACAAGCATGACATGCAGCATTTGGAGAAGACTTCAGATCTGACTTGTATGAAGCAGCCCTGATTCATTCCCAGGTGCCCACTAGGCTTCCAGGGGAGGAGGGGCTGAAGGGCGTTCACGGCTGTGCCCTCTCTTGCAGGGAGCACCCCACTTGGCTGCTACAAGAAGCTAATCGAGTACTATAAGAATGGAGACCTGTCCTTCAAGTATGTGAAGACCTTCAACATGGACGAGTATGTGGGTGAGTCTTTCCCTTCCGGTCCTTATCTGATTCCAGGAGAGTCCGAACTCCTCCCCCTCAGAGTGCCAGGAAACCACTGACATCTGGTGGTAGCCTCCATTACTGATACCTGTCTCTTCCAGGCCTTGGTTTACTCAGCTGTAAAATGGGGCCAATAAAACTGACCTCACCGGTTGTAAGCATTAAATGATATCACACATGTGGAAGCCTCTTATTTAGAACCAGCACTTAGTAAATATTCTAGTATTTTCTCCTTTGCCTCCTCCCCAACTCCATGCCCTTTCTTTTTAGAACAAATGATTGGAAATGGGACCCGGCTGGGGGGGTCCCCGTCTCTGTCTGGACTTTCTCTCCAGTGTTCATCCTCTAGCTCCGCTTGCTGCCAGGTTCACGGGAGGGGAGATGAGCCTGGTGTCTTTTCCACCACTGAATAGCTACACCACCGTGGTCTCTGTTACCTTCCATGTCTGACCATCCCCCCTATAATTTTGTAATGGTTTCACTTTAAATACTTCAAAATTGTAGCAAAATACACATAACATAAAATGAACCATCTTACCATTTTTGTGTGCTTTCAGTAGTGTTAAGCACAGTCTTATTATTGTACAACCAATCTCCACAACTCTTCATCTTGCAAAACTGAAACTATACCCATTAAACACCAGCTCCCCATTTCCCACTCCTGCAGCCCCTGGCAATCACCATTTTACTTCCTATGAATTTGTCTACGCTAGGTACCTCATAGAACGAATCACACAATATTTTGACTTTTTATGACTGGCTTATTTCATTTAACATCGTGTTGTTGAGGTTCTTCATGTTGTGGCTTATGTCAGAATTTCCTTCCTTTTTAAGGCTGTGAACATTCTTGATGTTTAACTTTAAGCATTAAATATTCACTTTAAGCATGCTTTTTCTTCTTGACTGAAAACAACCTTTTGGGAAGCCCTGACATAATTCTCTCTAACCACCTGGTATTCAAGTTGGGGTTCAGGCTGAGCCGGGTATAATAACGAGTTGAGCGGTGGGGTTTGGAGGCACAGGGTGAGGGGCGTGCATGCTTCCTTTCCTAGATAGGCCTATTTTTACCCCAAGGTACCTAAGCCACCTCCAGAAACCAAGACTAACTCTGGCCTCCCAACTAAGCGTTAATTCTCCTGTGAAAAGGAGATCAAAATGAGGAGATTCCTCAGGCCTCTGGGATGTAGCTGAGCTACTTTGGCCCAATCCTGTAGTCATAGGTGGTGGTGGGTACAGTTAGGGACATCAGTTCAGCTTATCCGGAGGGAGTGAGGGTCGGAAGGCTGGTGCCCAGGGTTCTGAGGCTGGCATTTCCTGGAGAGCATCTTCTGGGGGTCTGGGGATATCCTGGCCTCCTCCCGGGAGGAAGGCTCTGGCTCCACCTGGGCATGACTGAGTGTGGCCACGCCCCCACAGGTCTTCCTCGAGAGCACCCAGAGAGTTACCACTCCTTTATGTGGAACAACTTCTTCAAGCACATTGACATCCACCCGGCAAACACCCACATCCTGGATGGGAACGTGGCTGACCTGCAGGCCGAGTGTGACGCCTTCGAGGAGAAGATCCAGGCTGCAGGCGGGATTGAGCTGTTCGTTGGAGGTGAGCCGGACAGTGCGCAGGTGTCTAGGCCAGACCCAGGGTGGTTAGACGCATGCTGCCTCAGACAGCAGCTTCTCTGAGCTGGTGACAGCAGGAGCCACTCGTTACTCTGAGGACACAGGGAAGGCAGAGCGGCTGGTTCTGATGCTCAGCAGCTGTGACATTGGATAGCTCCTCTTTCTGCACTTTAGTGCCTTGTCTGTAGATTGAGGGTTCGAATTTGGGCTCTGAGATTTTGTTTCCCAATCTTAAAGTTTTATAGCTCAGTCATGGGACTTATCTAAACAGGTAAAATCACATGTAGTCCCAGAAGACTCCTCACTCAGCTCCTACACGCTGTAAATGGCCAAGTGAACTCCAGAGAAGTTTTGTGATTTGCCCAAGGTTAGCTGGCCAGAGTGGTGGAGACAAGGCAGGCACACCTAGGGTGTCCCCGTCTCAGATTTGTGCCTCTGTTCTTACCCTGGGCTGCCCTCTTACATTTCCATGTGTTGCCAGTTCTGGAGTCACCCACAGGAGTGTGAAGTTGGACTGCCTTTCACTGCTTTGGATTTAACTTTATTCAAGACTAGAGGCCCAGTGCACAACATTCGTGCACTTGGGGAAGAGGGGCCCTCAGCCCGGCCTGCACCCTCTCCCAGTCCAGGAGCCCTTGGGGGATGTCCAACTGACAGATTAGGGGAGTGGGCCCAAGCCAGCCGTGGGACATCCTTAGCACTGCCTTGGAGGCGGGAGAGGCTCCTGCCACCATAGCTTCACTCACCAGCCAGCCAGCCAGCCAGCCGTGAGCCCAGCTCAGGGCTTCTGGCTGGACAGTGCTCCCCCTGTGGGAGTGCACTGACCACCAGGAGGCAGCTCCTGCATTGAGTGTTTGCCCCTGGTGGTCAGTGCACGTCATAGTGACCGGTCATTCCGCTGTTTGGTTGATTTGCAATTAGCCTTTTATTATATAGGAAGGAGGATGGGGAGAAAGAAGCCAGGAGTGCTTATATTCTGAGATTGTATGAAGTTTCCAGGCCCTGTGTTTTATTCACTGTGACTACCCTGGTAGCAGGATCCCTGACTATTAGCAGGAGAGAGAGAAAGAGAGGATGAACTTCTAGGGAGGAGGAAGCTATTTGGAGTCACCTTTACCTAGCTTTGGAGAATGGTAGCAAGTTAATGGCTGGGTGTGCCCTAGAAAGAAAAGGGTGGGAGGTGGAGAGGGAAAGATCACATGCTTAGTGTACAGGCCCAGGAGAAGAAGAGACATGGTTTTCAAGTTTTGTAGACCCCAAAGGGGGAAGGAGAGGACTTGGAACTTGCAGTCTGAGGCCGTGGCACTGATAGGGCTGCCCTGACTCTCTCCTGGGCAGGCATCGGCCCTGACGGACACATTGCCTTCAATGAGCCGGGCTCCAGTCTGGTATCCAGGACCCGGGTGAAGACACTGGCCATGGACACCATCTTGGCCAATGCCAGGTTCTTTGATGGAGATCTCGCCAAGGTGCCCACCATGGCCCTGACAGTGGGTGTGGGCACTGTCATGGATGCCAGAGAGGTAAGGGTGCAAGGGGTCCACTGGGGATTGGACTGGTCTTTTTTGTTAAAGAAATTTAACTCTACAGGTACCACCTAAATATATTTGTATTAAAAATGAAGATATTATGAGGATAAAATCCCAACTGACCCTGTCGGTGTTCCTCCTTCCTCTTTGGGAAGGAACCATTATTCAGTGTGAGGACTGCCTAGGAGACCGCAGGCTCCCTGGCCTGGGCATATAACCCTTCCGAGCTGCTCAGGCAGGAGCCCAGCAGTGCTGGTGTCTGAGTGAGTCTGCACCTGCCCAGGTATCAAGATGGACCTCTGCTTCCCTGCAGATGGGGCCACTGTTTGAAGGGAGCTCCTATAGCTCCAGGGTGTTGGTAGTTTAGTGTAGCCCTGAGTGGGAAATATAAGTGTCCTAAACTGAATTTAGTACTTTTTTTCCTAGGAAGTTGGGTAACATTTGAATTTTTTGTGTGGCCCTGCTCTCACAGGCCTTTCTCTGTAGAAAAGGCACTGAGCTGTCCTGAGGCTCTTGTTCTTTCACTTTAAAAGGACACACTGCTTTAAGCAAACTTGTATGAAAATCCTTTTACTGAGCAAATTAGGAATTTGTTCCTTGCTGAAAAGATTATCTTAATGGCTAACTCCTGGAGACTGGGTTTACAAAAGTCCTGTGGATTCCAGCATTTATTGGGAATAACAATTTCTCTCCTATGCTTAGTGTGGTTATCATGTGGAGCCGCACAGGAAGCAAGAGTTGATTTCAGTTCTAGGACAGAATTTGGGAGCGCCTGTATTCTTGTTGACAATTGTGGAACTCTGCCTCTACCTCCTTAGAATTTTGGGAGCATTTTTTCTTCCTGGGTTGTATTTAGTGGGAAGCAGCTAGACATTTTAACTTTAAGCTTCTTTGCCTAGGTCTGTAAACACACATCTAAGTCTCAGGTGAACGCTTGTGAAAGTGCAATGGCGCCAGGTTTCTGTTGGGCACTTCACGTCGGCACCCAGGGTCACTCTGCTGTTCTTGGCCTTGTGGCTTGCAAACCGCCCTGTGTCAGTGAATGCTAATCTGAGAAAGAGCCTGGACTGGATATCAGGAAATTCTCTCTTCTAAAATTAGATCTGGAATTCTGAACAAAGAGCCATATTTTCTGTGCTCTCTTTTACCTCACCTTTTAAGGAATAGTAGCTCTGGCTGGTGTGGCTTAGTTGGTTGAGCATTATCCTCTGTACCAAAAGGTTGCTGGTTCTATTCCTGGTCAGGGTACATGCCCACGATTTGGGTTCAGTCCCGGGGGAGACAACTGATCAATGTTTCTCTCTCATATCCATATTTCTCTCTCCCCCTTCCTTTCTCTCTAAAATCAAAAACACATTTAAAAAGTAAAAAGAAAGGGAACAGTAAACCCTGTTCACAATTCCATGGTGCAAGTGAATTACAAAGGAAATCTATAGAGCTGAGTTCTTTATGATCACTGTCTACTACTTGCTTTCTTGGTATTTCAACTGTTGATTCTTGGCCTTTGTTTCATTTAAACAAAAAGCATTACCCAAGTCACATTAGTCGGTCTAATACTCAGAACTGAAAGTGACTAGATTAAGTGGCAGCCTTGTTGGGATGACTCTCAGCACTGCTTCCAAGGCTCCCTGAGGGATTGGGACTCACCTTTTTGTGATGTGAAAACTCACTCACCTAGGACCTCCTAGAACCAGTGTCACAACTGTTGGGGTAAGAGTGGGCCTTTGTAGGGCACATCTGTTCACAGGGCACTTGCAGCCACCATCAAAGGGGCCAGGAGGCACTATGGAGTGTCAAGAACATGCACTTAGGGTCAGAAATGACCTGGGGCAAGTCACTTAACCTTGGCCCATTTCCTTATAGGACAAGGAGTAACGATGCTCCCTGCTCAGGCAACTTGTGTGATAGCATAGGGAGAGCCTGGAGCTGCAAGGTTAAGACTTACGATGGTATATACAATAGAACGGTATTCCTTATAGCTGTTTGGGATGGCCACACTAGAGTTCAAGTGCCTGGACTTCCGGTTCCGCTGCTCCTCCTCTGTCATGGGCTTGTTCTCTGATCCCCAGGTGATGATCCTCATCACAGGTGCTCACAAGGCGTTTGCTCTGTACAAAGCCATTGAGGAGGGAGTGAACCACATGTGGACCGTGTCTGCCTTCCAGCAGCACCCCCGCACTGTGTTTGTGTGCGACGAGGATGCCACCCTGGAGCTGAAAGTGAAGACCGTGAAGTATTTCAAAGGTGAGGGAGGGGCAGGCTTGGGAGTAGGTGGCCAAGTTCAGGATATGCCAGGAGTGGGGAGTGGACCTAGCTCTCATGCTCTGGACATTTTAACCAACTCTGATTTTAATAAACATCAAAAGCTGTCTCAGAATACACAGTCATTTCTCTCTCACACCTGAGGGTCCATTTCTGGAGACTGGCTTGCTCAGAGGAGGAGGAGAGCATGAAAAGTTGTCCAGGCTGTGTGAAGATCTCTGCGGGACTGTGGAGCCTCAGCCTGTCTGTCTTCCCTGCTCTCACAGGCCTTTCCCTGTAGAAAAGGCACCGAGCTGTCCCGAGGCTCTTGTTCTTTCACTTTAAAAGGACACATTGCTTTAAGCAAACTTGTATGAAAATCCTTTTACTGAGCAAATTAGGAATTTGTTCCTTGCTGAAAAGATTATCTTAATGGCTAACTCCTGGAGACTGGGTTTACAAAAGTCCAGTGGATTCCAGCATTTATTGGGAATAACAATTTCTCTCCTATGCTTAGTGTGGTTATCATGTGGAGCCGCACAGGAAGCATGAGTTGATTTCAGTTCTAGGACAGAATTTGGGAGCGCCTGTATTCTTGTTGACAGTTGTGGAACTCTGCCTCTACCTCCATTAACTGCTTTGTTTTTTAATTTTTTTTTGTAGGTTTAATGCTTGTTCATAACAAGTTGGTGGACCCCTTGTACAGTATCAAAGAGAAAGAGACAGAGAAAAGCCAGTCTTCTAAGAAACCATACAGTGATTGATCTGTGCTAATCCTAGTGCCAAGTACCTCACTGGGACAGGCAGGAATTTCTGGAAATTCTCTTAAGGACAAAATTGTTTTTTTTATCCAGTACAATTACTCTGGATAAATGGGTGAACTTAACTGCACTTGGCTTTGCAGTGTGGAGCCTATTTTCAGAGGTTAGCTATGGGAGAAATGATTTGTCTGTAACTTATCAATCAGAAAAAAAATCACTCCATGTTTTGATGTCTGCTCTACACAGATTAGGGGGTTTCGGCTTTGTGTTCTGCCTGACCCTGTTCACATGTACAGCACACTCCTGTTGGGAATCTCTCTCACGTGCAGGTTCTCGGCTTACTGTATTGGACAAACCCTTTTTGGAGGCTTCAAGCCCCTCTTGAGCAGGCCTGCCCCTTATTTGAGAATCACTGCCCCAGGTGAAGGACAAACTCTGTGTCTAAGGTCAGCATAAGGAGGCAGTCCTCTGGCCAGTAACAAGTGCCATGGAAAGAAAACTGCCCCTTTCTTTCCTGTTTCTCTCTCTCTCAGTTGGCCTTTCCATGAACCCTGAGGACTCCTTGGGGGAGGACTTTGGAGGGAAGAGAAGGCTTTGCTGATGAGCTCGGAGCCTTGAGAGCTCAGCAACGTCAAACTCCTCTCCCTCAGGGTCCCTTCCGCACCTGAGGAAGGCGAGAGGCATGAACCCTTTCCCACCAGAGCCTGTGTTTTGTTCCAAGGCCTCCCTGTGGCACCCCTTTTACATACTCGTTAATAAGCAGGTCCATAGGCCTCCCTGTGGCACCCCTTTTACATACTCATTAATAAGCAGGTCCATAGGCCTCCCTGTGGCACCCCTTTTACATACTCAATAAGCAGGTCCATTGGGGCAACAGACGCTGGCACAGTTCCAATGTGTTTAGCCAAGGTGCTAGGGGCTGGGCAAGCAGCTCAGTGATGAGTTTAGTCACAATGGGAGTGACCTGCTCTCCTGCTTCCTGAGGAACTGAGTGCCAAGACTATACAAATGCTTCTAAGGTTGCCTTTCCCCACCTAAACTGCCCCTCACCTCTCGGGTTCATGTTGCGTGCTCTGATGTTTCTAGAACATCAGGAAATGGAACCCTTTTGTCCCTTTATCCTTTACCCCTGCTCACAAGGCGAATATTGCTCTGTCTTCCTTTTACCCTCTTAATCCTCCACCCCCTACCTTTGTGCCTGTTTCAAGCTGCTGCCGCCTCTGTTTCTCATGAAGATCTTTCAGAACCAGCTCAAGCCTCTAAGTGCTGTTTGGTTCCAGCATTTTAGCTTTTCATGTGTGATTGTGCTGTCATTCTATGTTAAGCTGACAGAGTCATTCTATGTTAAGCTGACAGATCAATAGGCTTTACAATGTGATATTTTCTATTAAATCCAATGTTTTCAAATTTGTCATTTATGGACTTCCATCCTCCCATCCCCCCAAAGGTTAGATGATCTGGGCTCATATATATTTTGGAAATAGCTGATGAACAAAGCTTTACACTCACTCTCACAGCCTCTCTGCAGGAAGTCACAATCAGCAACTGTACATCTTTTTCACTTACTGGCGGAAAAGAAAGTATGTCATCAAAGTGGGGTGAAAAGCCTGTGTGAAAAATGGTAGGAATGAAAAGTTGAGCAGTAAATGGTTCATATTCTAACTGTACTTAGGACCGAAACAAGGATATAGCTATTAATAAGGCAGATCTGTGACCAGGAGGGATATAAAAATAAAAGCTGCATGGTATGGAAAGTAGGTTTACTTTTTTGTTTTTAAAGTTAAAAATCAATATAATGGCATATCTGAGGTCAATATAATTGAAGTACAAGTATCAGTTATACTGGCATATAGTTTACGTGCTGGGTGGAATTAATTTTTAAGAAGGTGTTATAGAAAAAATATATTAGAATTAAGTGAAAAAGGATTTAGTGATGACAGCCAAACTGGTGATGTATGTGTGAACCAGGACCTTAAAAAGATCTGTCTTGCCAGATAGGCACGGCTCAGTGGTTGAGCAGTGACCTATGAACCAGGAGATCACAGTTCGATTCCCAGTCAGGGCACATGCCCAGATTACAGGTTAGAATCCCCATTGGGGAGTGTACAGGAGGCAGCAAATCAATGATTCCCTCATTATTGATGTTTCTCTCTCCCTTCCTCTCTGAAATCAAAAAAACAAAGGTCCTTTAAAAAAAAAAAAGGCAGTAGCCCCGCCAGGATGGCTCAGTGGTGAGCATGGACCTATGAACCAAGATTTGGGTCGGGGAACATGCCCAGGTTGCAGGCAGCTGATTGTTTCTCATATGTGTTTCTATCTTTCCATCTCTCTCCTTTACCCTCTGTAAAATGAGTAACAACATATTTAAATAAATAAAAAATGAGGCAGTATTGAGAGGTCAAAGCAACCTGTTAAATGGGCCTTCCAATGGCCAAGTGTGACAGTTTGATCAATGAATATTTAATATAGCTAAGAAGAAAAAGTCGAGCCAAACCGGTTTGGCTCAATGGATAGAGCGTCGGCTTGCAGATTGAAAGGTCCCAGGTTCGATTATAGTCAAGGGCATGTACCTTGGTTGAGGGCACATCCCCAGTAGGGGGTGTGCAAGAGGCAGCTGATCAATGATTCTTTCTCATCAATGTTTCTAACTATCCTTCTCTCTTCCTCTCTGTAAAAAATCAATAAAATATATTTAAGAAGAAAAAAAAAAAGTCGAGTATGAAACCCCAAGTCTGTTAGTCAAAAAGGAAAAAGATTAAATATATATGGAAAGCTATATTTCAGGAAGAGTGGATAGAATGTGTTTCAAATGGCAGCATGTTGACACAAATGTGTCACCTCTTCTGTTAAATTTGTTGATTTACAAGTAGAAATGGATATAAGAGCCTAGCCCACTATTCCCCTCCAGAATGGCTTCCCCCCTTACTTCCTCAGATCTCTGCTCAAATGTCATTTATCAGAGAGAACCTTCCTTGGCCCTCCAACATAAATAGCAATCCCAGTTCCCTCTCCCCTACTGCTCTATTTCTCAGAACCTCTGCCACCTGGCATGATTCTGTTTCCCACTAAGCAGTTTCATGAAAGCAGACTCTAAATACTGCTCTGTCCTGTCCCTATCAGTGCCCTGATTTCTAGAAAACACCCATTATTTGTTGTAAGCCTGACAGTTACCCCCAAGAGTAGTTATCATATACAATAACCAGGGGAAATAACAGCATATTATTTGATAATGGATTAGCAAACTGGTCTATTGAAGATACAAATTTGATGCCTTTTTCCTGGGAATCAAACCCTTACTATGACGAGATGCATCAGTTTCCAAGGAGAAGTGACAGAATCCTGAGCATCCTCTGTCTCAGAGAAATACGGGAATCCTTGGAATTGTGCAAGACTAGACTGGGTGCTGAAAGCTGAAAATCATAAAACTTTTGTTAAAAATGTCACCAAAGCCATTTTTCTGACTCAAAACCCTCAGCCTGGGATGCTAGCTGACATTTTTATTGAGCCCAAAGTTCAAGGAAGTGATTATTTGGATACTCTTTCCAGAGGGTCCCACAATGTCACAATTTCTCCATCCTCCTCAGGAGCTGCAGTTATAACATACTCACTGTTATAAGCTATTTTCTTTAGTGGCTGCAGACAAGTACTACTATCAAGAATGCTACCGTCCTGTATAACAAATGGATGTCAACTGGTTCAAATACAGTTTTAAGTGGCCTTACAGTATTTGGTAATACTTCTGTTCTTGCCTTGCTGCTATTATTAGACATAGGCCCGGTGCATGAAATTCATTCAGGGGGAGGGGGTCCCTTCAACCTGGCCTGCACCCTCTCACAGTCTGGGATCCCTCTCGCGGTCTGGGATCCCTTGCTCCTTACTGCCCGCCTGCTCCCTCCTCCTCACTGCTTGGCTAGCTACTCCTTAGCACTACCGCCACCGCCACTGTACTCACCAGTTGTGAGCCCAGCTTCTGGCTGAGCAGCACTCTCCCTGAGGGAGCACACTGACCATCAGGGGGCAGTTCCTGCATTGAGCGTCTGCCCCCTGATGGTCAGTGCACATAATAGCAAACCAGTTGTTCCTCTGTTCAATCAATTTGCATATTAGGGTTTTATTATCTAGGATGTCATTCTACTCATCAATGTGTATAGCAGACTATAATGAAACACAAAGAGGAAAATTAAAATATCAGACATAAAATGCTACTAGTCTTAACCATTTACTGAATTTTTATAACATGGCAACTGCTGCCACCTGCTGGTGATACTTATGGCAAAATTACTACTTAGTGGGATTTCCAAAATTCCTGCCAAAATTTTTAAATTTCCTTCCAAAGCAGGTAGCCACATGAATGGCTTTATGATTATCATATCTGATTAACTCTAATTCTTTTAACAATAACAAAAATGTAAGTATATTAATGTCTAATCTAAATAGAACCCTCTATAACTAAAAAATGACCTTGCTGCTAATGCTATAGGTCTGGGAATGTGGCCACCAAGTCTTTATCATTCTTCACAACAGGAAGGGATGTGTATTTAAAGTATATTTATTTTAAGTTAAAAACATTACTTAAAAAATAAGTGGGACAAGATGCATCTCAACTGACAAAGGCAGGCTCTTAAATTTGTTCAATCACAAGCTTAAAATGTCACAAAACCTCTATTTTGACTTAAAAAGTCATTTAGTAACTTATTTTCATTTATCAGTTCTACATCCAAACCTTTTACATAAAATCAAGAGATGTGGCTTCTTCAAACTAGTTTTGGGCAGGATGAACTGACAGTCTGCAAAGGGACCCTCTGCTCTCTTACTGTCACCAAAAGGACTCACGAGGTTCATGTCAATTTATGGTAAATCTCTGTCCACTTGTAAAAATGGCCTTCATGAAATTAAGTTATGTACACTACTCTGTTCATGTACTTTCCTGATATACCAATCTTTAACAAGGTAATTATTTCTAGGACATTCAGGGGGTTACCCCAATTTTCATTACACTCAGAGACAAAAGTACTCTACCCAAAACTTCACCATCTTAAAGATAGCTCATAACTCATGCCTCAAAAATAAAAGTTTACAAACTTTGGCAACAGAACACTTATCAGCAACTCTGTTCTAATTATAAGACAATTTTAAATTATTTTTATTTTTAAGATTAAGCATCCTCATTGACAATCCAGAAATAGTCACTGCTGACTCTTTGGCTACACACACATAAAATGGTTAAAAATGATTCCCCAATTTTCAGTGACAAGGTAGGAAAAAAGAACATTTTCATAGCTGCAGCTGAATTCTGCCCTTTTCCAAAAAAATCTTATTTTGCGACCAAACCACTCATCAAACCAAAAAGGAAAGACAATTTTTCAAAAAGCCAACAAAACCCTGAAACAGGGACCTAGGCAAGCCAAAATTATCCTCCAAAACAGTGCTGTTGCAAAAAATAGGTGGGAAACCAAAATCCCAAAGCACATTAGAGAAGACCTATAAAAAGAATTTAGAAAGTTAGGACTGACTACAGTAGTGTGGAGTTCAGAAAGCACATAATTGGAAGCTCAACTTGTTCCGCTTGGGAATGAATATATTAGGCTTTCTCTTATTCCAGTAATAGAAATAAAAATAGGAGCTGATAAGAGTTGATATTAAAATTGTCCTTACCAACAGAAGGCTGGGTGAAGGTAAAAGAGAATGTAGAATGACAGGTGGCAAAGACAAGTTGTTTTGAATCTAGGCTCTACAGCTCAGGAAAGCTGAACAGCACTGAAATTCCTCTGAGCCAGTGGCATTAAATAACAGTCTTAGCTCAAGATCAGTGAACAATATATCACCTGGTATATCTGTGATCCACACTGTTTGTGGTATTAAAGAATATTTTTTAAATTATAAATTTCTATTCTTAAAAGCAGTATCAGGTGACCCACATTATTTGTGGTATTATAGAATATTTTTTAAATTATAAATTTCTATTCAGAAAAGCAGTATCAGGTGACCCACATTATTTGTGGTATTATAGAATATTTTTTTAAATTATAAATTTCTATTCTGAAAAGCAGTAGACCAAAATGACACTGGGCCATCCAATCAGCTATAAAGGGCTCCCTCCAAAAAGAACTTAGCAAAAATTTAGGTTGGAAGGAATGTAACATGGAGTAAGATCAGGCTCTTGGTTCAATTTTAATAAGGCTTCTAACCACCCCAGCCGTAAGGAGACCCCCACAGTTTAAAGGGATGCTTCTCAGAGATAAAAAAGGTCTATAAGTTGAACTGTTGATCCCTTCTCCTTACCTAAAGCTTGGGGAAGAAAATAAATATTTAAATTTTTAACTATTCAGAGTTTTGGGAATACAGTAATATTTAATATGCCTTAGTTTTCATTTTATGAACCTTTGGCTTGTAATTCTCTCAATTATGTTACACTGAAAAATGTATGACTGTGCCTTAGTCAGTAGTGCCACATGAAAATGTAAACCTCGTTCTCCTCATCTTCCTCATCTTCTACGTTAGAAGAATGAATGAATGGTAACCCTAAATATCCTGCAAAGTTACTTTGTATTCTCAGCAAAATATAGGGCAAACCATTTCACTTCTGCGTCTGGAGCAGTAGGAATGAACTAGTCTTCTTCAATCTCATCTTCCCAAATATCTTCATCAACATCCACAGCATAGAACAACCTGGAAGTTTATATAATAAAGTACAATGTTAAAAGCTTGGAAGAAACTATAATTTATCTCCTTGTCTCAAAAATACTTTTTGTACTCTTCAGATAACATCTTTATTTTTTCCTCTTTCATCTTCCACTGAGGACTAAAATATGGGTCCCTCTGAACAGCTGCCTTAAAGCTTATCAGAATAGCTTTTTTAGGATCCAGACAAACTCTCTAGGGCCAAGGATAAAAATTGGAAGATGGGTATCACAAAACTGATACTCAATGCACAAAATATGTGGAATAAGCCACGATTAGGGAATCAAGCAATCTACAAGTTGAACTCTTTTGAGACACTATAACTATTACATGCTAATCACTCCATTCTCTCTATCTTCATGGCCCATGCATTCTCCATTTTCAGTATGTTTTATAGTTACCAACTTGACTTCCTACCCTGATGTTACCTCTCCCTCTTCCTCTCTGAAATAAAAAAATATATATTTTTAAAAAAAAGAGACTTAAGAGACAGAACCAAATAAAATGACTGAATCTGTTTCAATAAAAACAACTTTAAAAGGTATTTTTAGGAATAACTGGAAGGTTTTTAATAAGTTTATTAGCTGATAATACGCCACTGTCATTAATTTATTTGAGACTTTTAGTTTATTTTTTTGAGAGAGAGGAAGGGAGAGGGAGAGAAACATTGATGTGAGAATGAAACTTCCATGCTCCATAATGGGGATCAAGCCTACAACCTGAGCATGTGCCCCAACTGGAAATTGAACCAGCAATCTTTCAGTGCAGGGGATGCCACCCAACCAACTGAGCCACACCATCCAGGTCTCATTAATTTTTTTAAAGTATTGTTACGCAGAAAAATTTTCTTAGGCCATACACATAGAAGCATTTAGAGATGAAGCATCATATCTCCAACTTAGGGTCAAGTACTTCAGCAACATCGTTGGAGAAGAAACATTAGAAAATTTTAATTGAAAAACAAAAGAAAACAGGTCCAGCCAGTGCAGTCCAGTGGTTGAGCATCAATCCAAGAACCAAAAGTTCAATTCCCAGTCAGGGCACATACCATGTTTCTAGCTCCATCCCCAGAAGGGGTATACAGGAGGCAGCCAATAGATGTTTCACTCTCACATCTAAATTTCTCTCTCCCTTCCTCTCTCTAAAAACCAATAAAAACATATTTTTAAAGAAGAATATGGCAAAACACTATCAATTATTAATTTTGGTGGATGTTATCCAACTATTCAGTCTTATTCTTTCAACTTTTCTATTCAAAAATTTTCATTATAAAAAGTTGAGGACAAAAAAAGAAAAAAATTCCCAGGAAGCATATTTTCATCATAAACCTCATTTTTAAGAAAACAATATAAAAATTCATATATGTGAAAAGTGTGTAAGAGAATTCTTTAATAAGCAAAGAACTAAGTCAAACACTGGATCTGTGGTCTGCAAATCAAGGGCCAGAAACTGCTGCTGAGCCTAGGGAATTGTGTGAGTACATACCGGTTAAAACACAGGGAAGCAGGATCAGTGAAATGTTTATAAGGGTTTGCTCTAGAGAGAGAACCCATGCAAATCCAACAGAAATATTGCATACAACCAGTACATGTCATCTTGTTACATCCATCTAATTTCTGGTGGGAAAGACAGAAAGGGAAAAATATCAAGGCTGTAAAAGCAAAAGAGAAATGCACATGCCAAAAAAGATTCAGTAAAACCTTCTCCTAGTCCCTTTCCTTATACAGAGCTGAATACTATGGTAGCTAACACATTGATAGCTAGTTAATGCCAACTCTTTTGCATTACAAGTGAAAAAAGAAATATTTAGCAGGCTTTCCTACAATTAGATACTTAAGCAAGTTTTCTTCTGAAAAACTCGATACAAACCAAATGTTATTGTACAGGGAAAATGTAGTTAGATTAATTAAAATGTTTGGATTTAATATATATGCTTTTCAACTTTTTACATAAATCTAAAAAAAAAATTGGTATCAAGTCATCCACTTTATCATAGGGCTGAGACATCAGTAGTAGTTAAATGGTTAAATAGAATGTCAGTTTCCTTAATGGAGTATTAGGGAATGACCACCAGGTTCAGTTATGATAGACAGCAGTACCCCTTATCTGCAGTTTTGTTACCCATGCTCAATCCATGAAAGAAACAATTCATATGTTTTACATTGTACACCATTCTGAGTAGAGATGAAAACTTGTGCCATCTCAACCAGGGCGTGAATCTTTCCTTCCCATTAGCCTGTTTCCATGTCGCAGCATTCATATTCAAGTAATCATAGCCTAACACTATGTCACAATCCTGTATTATACACCTCATTTTGCATCACTGCACATCATCTCAAGAGTGAACACAGTACAGTAATATATTTTGATAGAAAAATATCACATTCACATAACTTTTATTATAGTATATTATAATCATTCCATTTTATTAGTTGTTGTTAATCTCTTACTGTGCCTAATTTATAAATTAAACTTCAACATTGGTATGTATGTATGTTTTGGAAAAATACATAGTTCATATAGGGTTTAGTATCATCCTCAGGCATCTATTGGAGTCTTGAGTCATATCCCCAACAGATATGAGAGGATTACTGTAATGGATTGAAACAGTAGAATCAAATACAAAGATACATTTCTATTTTAAAACATATTAAGATTTTTGTCAAGAAGCAATAGCTTTATATATACTTTGGCTCAGACTCATGGGAAAATGTCCCCATTTCTTGAGCATATACTTGTTAAATAGGTGTGTTCAATTCTAGGATAAAAAGTTCTGAGAAGAAGTCAGGCTTGATTTTTAAAAAATCACACAGATGAGTTAAGAGATGACTGTGGCTCTAGTATGGCCTCCTCATAACCCATTCAATTTTTAGGGGGAGGAAATAGTGTGAGAACAATTATCACTGTATAAAAGCACTTTGAAAAGGGACATCGACATACATTTAAAATCAATGACAATATTAAGTAGTGAATTTACAATTTCTAAGTAAGAGGGTTTAATAAATACAAAAATGTGTTTTCTTCGTCAGTCATAAGATAAATGGGCTTCCTTAGACGATCTAACACGCCTGAAAGTCTGTTTACCTCTATGGGAGTTCCACAGTTTGGGCAGTTCTTTGAGTTCTTTTCTAGCCACTCTTTACTTTCCATTTCTTCCAGTGCCTTCTGAATCACCCTCTTACCATACCTCTGTTCCAGAAATCTTTTACTGTCCTCATCTGCTTGCAGGTACTCATTTTGTAAGTCTATTAATTTTTCTAGAAAGTGAAATGGAAAATTAACTTTTATATAACTTTGCAATGCTGATTAAAAACTATTAAAAAGGCTATAACTTTTGACTTCTCAATAATGCTACCTCTGGGACTTTATCATAAGGATATAATCCATAAGGATATAATGCCATTTATGACATAACTAGTAGCCTTGCACATGAATCCGTGCACCAATAGCTCTCTGTGGGGCCTGGCCGCTCTGTGCCCTCTGCCCAGAGGCTCTCCAAGGCCCACAGGCCTATCCGAGGCCAGGCGTGAAATGTTTGCCTCGCTGCCACAGAGACAAAGCAAGCATTCTGCCAGGCCGCTCATGCTGCCTGCTCTCAGTGGCCACCTCCAAGGGACTGGGGGACTCTGGTGGGGCTGAGAGGACTGGGTGCCGCCATCTTGTGGCTTTGGGTGCCGCATTTTGTGATGGAGTGATGGTTAATTTGCATATTAGCTAGGATATTGTTATTAAAGACTATAGTTAGGATGGCTACAGCTCAATTAAAATACTCGTTACAGAATCCAGAAAAAAAAGGGTATTTAGGTTATGACTAAGTAAAGTTAGACATGCACAAATAACAAGGAACAAAAAGGAATCCAACTGGAAAAGTTGGATTTGCTAAAGGTGGTAAATAATAGGTTATCTTTTTCCTTTGATTTTGACTTACTAATGTTGATATGTTTTACAACTAGTACAGTTAAAGATTGACTTACCTAAAAAACGCAAAAGTTGAAAAAGATAGATTTTCCACTAACTCAACATCATTCACCATCTATATATATATATATAAAAGTCTAAGCGACAAGCTGACTGGCCTACAGGCTGGTAGCTATGACCACCAGGAGGCAGACACTCAATGCAGGAGCTATTGAGCAACAGAAACTCTGCAGAGTGTCTCTCGCACCCTGGGAACCTTCGGGGGATGTCAGACGGCTGGACAAGGGACTCACCAGTGCATAAATCTGTGCACCTGGCCTCTAATTTGATAATATCAAGGTTTACCAAATAAAAAAAAGCACTTTTGGCTTAAGGGCAAAGACTTTAATATTAAAAAATGTCAGTGAATAAAATTTACCACCCACAGCTACTAAAAAGTTCCTCCTGACACCTTTCCCCTTGATACTCTTCAATCTGATCTCTAATCACTTAAATGAATAAGCAGCCATTCTCAAAGCCTTTACTTATACATCAAAGGCTTTTGTTCATAATCCTATTATCTTAATTTTTCAACAGGATCAAGTAAAGACTCTCAAAAATGTTTGTTATTTTGTGTTCCTAGGCTTATTAAGGACAAAAGTTATTGCTCTAATGTTCTCAAAATAATAAAGATGCTAGTATAATATTTCATATATTTTATATGGTAAAATCTAGTGTCTATAAATATATATAGTAGAATCAGATGCCAAATTTTACTGAAGCCCCTACGTCTAACTTCAATTCTTTCCTCAAATGCTGTGAAAATGCACTTCTGCCTCTCAATGCTAAGGTTACAGAAATTTAAGAAATGGCTTATAATTATGCTGTGGTGAGTTCTTCAACCCATCTACTGGCCCACTACAAGACTCTGTTCTGGCAGAACCTACTCATTCTCCTCAGGGTACTTTCTTGGAGTTAATAACACTAACAGTGCCAACTAGTAACTACAATAATAACGGCATTAATAGTTACCACTCTGCCCTAGCTGGTTTGGCTCAGTTGACACTACGTCATCCTATGGACTGAAGGATATTGGGTTGAATTCCAGTCAAGGGCACCAAAAATAAACAAACAAACAAAAATAGTTACCACTTCGTCTTTTACATGTACTGGTCCACTGTTCTCAAATTATCTATGTTGAAGGACTAGTTTTTCTTCCCTACTCTGTCAAGGACCAATACTTTTATTTTTTTTAAATGTATTTTATTGATTTTCAGATAGGAAGGGAGAGGGAAAGAGATAGAAACATCAATGATGAGAGAGAACCACTGATCAATTGCCTCCTGCAAGCCCAGGGCATGTGCCCTGACTGGTAATCAAACCATGACTTCCTGGTTCATATGTCGATGCTCAGCCACTAAGTCACACCAGTTGAACAAGGACCAATACTTTTGAAAAATACAATAAAATGAATTTCTTCCTTACAACAACCGTATGAAGTACCTATTATCATCATCCCTGTTAGTTTGAGAAAGACTAAGTCAGCAGAGTCCATTTAAATCTATGTCAAGGACCTGCCTTCTCAATCCTTTTCTAGATCAGAAATGGCACACAGATTCCACATCGGGTGTCTACTTCAATAGAGGATGGCTTTCTGAAGTGCTGTGTTCAGGAAGATTCTGAGGCCTCCCTGAGCTCAATGAGAAAGCACTTGATGACTGATCAGACATATGTGCCATGGAAATAAGAGTGACAGCTATGCATCTGCCAGCCAGAACAGACAGAATTTCACATTCACAGATAAAAATGACCTTGCCATTCCTTCCCTGGACTGTTGTCCCTGATATCTCATGACTTGTTTCCTTAATTCCTCCAAGTCTTTACTCAAACCACTTGGCCAGTGAGGCTTCCCCTGACTTTCCAAAGTAAAATCACCAGCTCCTTTCCCTTCAGAACATTTCATATCCTATCTCTGTTTTATTTTTTTTCCTCATTAGCACTTTCTATCATCTGATATTTTTATATATGTTGTTTGCCTGTCTTCTCCATTAAAATGTTAAGTTTCATGAAGGCATTTCATCACTAATATATCCAACGAAGCTAGGGCAGCATCTAACACAAAAGTTTCTGTTTAATAAAAACTTCCGAATTGAAAGCTGAAGTGATAAGTTTTGGGGTGTTTTTTTTTTTTTGGTGGGGGGATAGGGGATGAGAGAACTGAGTTCACAGTTACAACTTACCTGCAGTGAGCTTACATGGAGAGACGCCATGGTAGGTCAATCTGCATAAGGTACAGAAGGCAAAATTGCAGCTGGAGCAGATGCCCATGGTACAGCCAGGCTCCTGCATCACAGGCAATTGGCAGCATGGACGGGGGCAGTACACCACATCTGCCATCAGGTCCAAGGTAGACTGGAGAAGAAGCCGATCATAACGGGCAAATAACTCTGCTTCTACTAGCTCTTTGACCTGGAGTAAAATATTTTAAAACAAAGGTTTGTCAATTTCCCAACCAGTTCTGTCCCTGAGGATATACTTGGGCTGCTGGGCAATCAGATGCACATAAATTAAACCCCTCTACCTCACTTCAAGATCAAAACCACCCCAGCTGCTGTGTCTCAGTGGCTGAATGTTGACCAATGAACCAGGGGTCATGGTTTGATCTCCGGTCAGGGCACATACAAGAATCAACCAATGAATGCATGAATAATTGGACCAACAAATTGATATTCTCTCTCTCTCCCCCTTCCTCTCTCTAAAAATACCTTAAAACAAAACAAAACAAAACAAAACAACTAAGCAAACTGTACACTTTAAATAGGTACATTTATGCCTTCATAGATTTGATTTTTTAAAATCACACCAAGCAGGCTGTCCTTAGGTTACAGTCTGTAAATGATTCAATTAGCCATTCCAACAGATATCCCCTTCAGATCCCAACCTCACACAAAGACAGGCAGTAATTCTCCAAGGTCAATGGCATTCTAGTAAATATATAAAGTAAGTCACCAGAATTACTTTACAGCTTTTCAACATTCATCCCTGCTGAGGACTGCCCATTTTGAGGCCAACAAAGAAAGCATTTATGTATGCTTAAATGGTAAAGACCATAGCATTCTTTTTTTTTATTCTCACCCGAGGAGTGAGGATATTTTTTCCATTGATTTTTAGAGATGGTAGAAGGGAGGAGGGTAGGGAAGAAAGAGAGAGGAGAGAGAAAAAAACATTGATGTGAGAGACACACATCAATTGGTTGCCTCCCATGTGTGCCCCAACCAGGGGTAAGGATTGAGTCTGCAACCCAGGCACATGTGTGCAGGCTGACGCTCCAATTACTGGGTAATGTCGGCCAGGGCAAGGCCACAGCATTCTTTTTTTTTTTTTTAACTCCTTCCTTTTACTTAAAAATATATATATTTGTATTGATTTCACAGAGGAATGGGAGGGAGAGATACAAACATCAATGATGAGAGAACATCACTGAATCGCTGCCTCCTGCACGTCCCATATTAGGAATCGAGCCTACAACCTGGGCATGTGCCCTTACTATAAATCAAATCCTGACTTCCTGGTTCATAGATCAACACTCAACCTCTGAGCGACACAGGCTAGGCAAGACCATAGTATTACTGATGGATATAGTGAATCAACTCGTGGGCAGGCTTCAAGACCTCAGAATGCCCTGATGAGCCCTAGCAAAAGAGTTCCTGAGAGGATGTCTCCCTTTGTCAAATAAAATTAGGACGCAACTGTTGGTAAAGTTACCTGACCAGGAGTAGCCACTGAAGGGCACTTGGGTTCTGGGCAGTTGAGGCATTGAACTTGGCCATCTTTGATCTGGATCTCAAAGTAGTCCTTCAGACAGGCTTTGCAGTACACATGCCTGCACTCCAAGAAGTGCATGCATTCACTACCCAGCTTCTCACAGAAACAGATATTGCACAGGAACAATTTACTATTGAAGCACTTTATCTGCTGAGCTTGATCAAAGTCCAAGATTTCCTGGATCAGATTGGACAATGACTCCACATCCTGCACGGCTCTCTCATCCACAGCTTCCTCTTGGTCTAGAGCGGATCCAGCGGCTCCTCTACAATCTAGCTCTGTGTTGCCAGAGGCTTGAGCCGTCCTTCTCTGCAATTTTTTCTGAGAACCGATCTTGAGTTCGAAAGGAGAGACAATATTCAGGTACCCCAGGGTCTCTTCCTTAAGAAACTGCATCCAGGCAAACAGGACCACGTTGCCACGGTGCTCTTCCCACAGGTTGTCTAGGTGCTTGCAGAGAGCAGACAGCTGGGAGAAAACACATGGGGAGGCAGGCGAGTTTAGAAAGATCCTGATGCTTTCAACCCCTGTTCTCCCCTGAAACTTTAAGTTAGGCTCTCACACTTCCTAAAGTGATTTTTTCCCCCACAGCTGTGATAAAGTGTGCTATCAAACAGCACCAATATTCTTATCAGATCACTTCTTAAGTTATTCAGCAACGTGTGCCATAGTAGAAGACAAAGTCAGAAGCTAGAGGAAGTACCATGAAAACAAGAGAGATGGTATGACTGCACAACATGTGGAACTAGGTTGACATATGCTCCGCTGCATGGAGGACTCTCTCTGTTCTTTAACTGTCCTTTGTGTTAATATTGCTATATACCTCATGTAGGAGAAAGGGATCCAGTTCTAAAGTTAACTGTTTCTATTCCTGTCGAGCCTTAGCCCTGTAGATGCCCTACAATAACAGTTAGAAAGAGAACTGTTTAAAGGTTTAAAATTAATTCTTCCAAGTCCCTTCAAAAAGTCAACTCATGAAAAGATCAGTCACAGGATCCAACCTCAGAGTCCTTGTTACTCAGATTTACAAGCTGGTTTTAACCAAGCAATCTGGGCTTATACCAGAACCTGGTTAATGGAGGCAGACATACTGATGAGGAACCTGGACAGGATTACAAGCCTGCAATGTGGTCTGGCTGCCATAGGGAAAATTCACACTTTCTAAAGGTAAGCAACCAAAGTTTAAACTATTTCAACTTCTCTACCGTAGAAGCAGTGTTTTATTTAAATGACAAATATAAAAGGACTCTCTACTAGAAATGTGAAATATCTGTAAGCAGAACTCAGGAATTACAAGCAGTTTTTCTTTTTAGGCAAACATAAAAATTAAAAAAATTAAGTCTTCCAGATGCTAATCAATTTTGTAAATTTAAATAACAAGTGAACAAGGACTACATTTTCTGTTCCTTGCTGCTCACTCAACCCTTCACAGGCATGAACTTAAACCACTAGTGGTTTTCCACATGTACATGAATATGCTTATAAGATCAGCCACACTTTTTAGAAACCTGTTGAAGGTTGTGAAATGGAGTAAACACTAACACTAAAAGGAAAGCTTTGAGTTCTGTTTGAGCCAAATCCAATGAAGAAGCCATTCTCCTCCATCCTCTTTTCTTCTCCAGCCCCTTCTCCAAAGAGGCGTCGGGGATATACATAAATGTGAGAAAGGAGAGATAGAAGAGGAAAAGGAAAAAGAGAGATTGTGCATGTACATATATTGGGGGAGGAAAAATGGAAAATTCAAGAAAACTAAGCCTACTTCCCTTCTATTTACCAACCCCAATTCAGTGAAAAACAGGTCCATGTGTCAACTTCACTAAAAACAGGTGACATTCATAATGCCAAGGAATCAGGGCCCTGCAACAAACAAGAACTGAACCAAGAAGGAGTATAAGAGACGAGTTAAATGTCAATTGTATACACAAAATTTTTATTTGATAGAAAATCCTACTGTAATTTTAGCTTTATATATAAAATAATGAACAACTGTCCTCTCCCACACCCTCCAAGCTAGAATTAAGTAGATTCTATTTGACTGAATCTGAAACTAAAGCCACACACCTTTAATCTGTCCTCGTGTGATACGTACGTGCGTGTGTGTGTGTGTGTGTGTGTGTGCACACGCGTGGATATAAAGTATCAGGAGTTCTCTTGAGAAATGGGACTATAAATATCTAAATAATTTAGTCAACTATCAGTGATCTAAATGTTAAATAGCCTTTAATATAGGGAAGTGGGCAAATAATTAACTGTCTAGCATGTATTGCCTCTGGCACAGCTATTAGAATGTAAGGTAATACTCCTTTTTATTCTATGTGTATTATCTTTTTTAAATTTAATTTTGTTTTTAAACCTCAATTTTAAGCTCAATTTTATAAAAGCACTCTTATCTAAAGATTAGACTATTGGGGCAAGGAGAAGAGAGGGACTGAAAAATACATGATCAAAAAGGAAAGACTGACAAGCTGCTCCTTAAGGTCAATAACTCTGACAGTTTTTGTCTTAATATACATCAACCTATCAATCTTCATCATGACTTCTAGAAAAGTAGCTGCTATTGATCCATTATCTACCCCAGAACACTATATTAGCTTCAAGTCATGTTTATGTCTCAATCATGAGTTAAAGTTACTAGAAAAGGTTATATAATCGGGAGGAAATTACTGTTCTTAATATAAGGTCTCAAGCCTTCATTAGCTATCTACAGGAATCACATTCATTTCTATTTGTGTGTAATCATATGGATGTGAGAGACCAGTCAACAATTATTTGTTCCTATTATTCAGAACTTTAAAAATAAAAGCACTTATATGTTTATTTAAGAAATGTGTTTATTCTAACTATATTAGATCAATTTTAGTCCTCCTAATTACATTTAAATCTTTCTTCTAAGGAATGAATAAGAAATTAAGAAAAAGGAGTAATTCCAACATCAAAGGAAAATTAGGAGAACTTATAGTTTCATCATAATTCAGAGTAAATGAGAAAATAGCAAAAAAAGAAAAGAAACAATATACTTGATTAGAAATTACTCCTATTGCAATGCATAATGATTAATAATTTTAATTACTGCCATTCCTTTCTAAAGCACCAAACATTTCCAACCCATTAACATTAGGATTCATGAAGGCAAGGGGAAAAAATTACAAAATCAAAACCATCTGTTCTCCATGCATTGAAGTCAAGATCAAGGTAGTCTTCAATTAAAGATGATTTTTTAAGTTTCTAAAAATGGATAAGAGAAATTAAGTTCCGGGTCTAACCTGAGTTGGTGACAGCCATTTGCCACTAAGTGTGAATGAAGGTGGGGAGGAGGATGGATAATCTGGTGGCAGTTCAAAGTTCAGCACAAGTGGAGGCAGAAAGCAAATGGTGTATTCAAAGCCACTATTCTGGAGACACTCATTTGAATTGCCTGAACCAAAAACAAAGAGTAGAAAGGATCAGTTGGTCAATACTTGAGTGTCCATTGTTGTTGAGCAGAGCTCAAGAAAGACTTAATGCTTTTGTTGAGGGGATAAAAACCCTCCCCCAAAGCCCTTTCTATTTCCTAATTTTAACTTCTTAGCCACCACCTTTAAAAAAGAAAATCTTGTAAGCCCTTGAAAAACCATGGAAGTTATAATGAAGATACACAACTTATTCTTGTATATACTTTTGAGTACAATTCCTAACAGTAAAGAGCAAGTAATGCACAATGTTTCCTTTTGTTATTGTTTTACAGTAGATGATTACAAACACAATCTAGAGAAAAGCATGTTTATTCCTATCAAAGAGCCATGACCTACTTAGACCAGCAAATATCAACTACCCATGAATCATAGTTGGGACAATTTGTTCCAACATAGTGATCTCAGGCTTGAGGACAAGATACAGCACACAACACTCACAAGCAAAGTTTCATTTTACATTATCACACTTTCTTTTCTCAATGCCTTTATAATAGAAATATTTGAGAAAACGTGCATCAAAGTCTCCTGTAAATGTTTGTATCAAATAAAGCAGTTTTATTTGTTTTGTTTTGTTTCTGAGGCAAATAGTAATAGCACATGTTGCATGTTTATAGTAGTTTAAATGAGTGATTGCCAACTGGTGGTCTGTGAGGTCCGAAAGGTTGGTGACCACTGGTTTAAGGAAACCTTTGGAGCAGCAGTTGCCAACTGGTGGTCCGCAGACCACTGATGGTCCATGAGGTCTGAAAGGTTGGCGACCTCTGATTTAAATGATTCTGGAAACCAAATAGCATTAACCACCACCAGTGTACTTTAAAGCTTCCAAGTTTTTTCACATACATTACTTAATTTCCTCTTTTATTAACTCTACTGAATGGCCCATGAGTCGTGGCTGATAAACTGCTAGTTAGAAGATTAGGATACATGGAATATGCAGGCTAATATCCTAAATTCAATGGTCAGAAGGTGGAATCAAACTGAAAACTGTTTACCTCCCAGTTAAATTTTCACTTAAAACAGAAACATGCACTGAATCTGTAATAATATCATTTATCACTGATGCTTAAAAACATAAGGTGATAAGTAATTTAGGTTTCAAACTCAGATACAGCAACAGACTGACAGTTGTCAGAGTGGAGAGAGGGAGGGGGCCTGGTTGAAAAAGATGAAGGGATTAAGCAGTAAAATTGAGTTACAGAAGAGTCACAGAGATGTAGATTACAACATAGGGAATATAGTTAATAACAGCAATAACTATGTATGGGACCAACTGGGTACTGAAAGCACTGGGGGAACCACTCTGTGAAGTACATGGTAGTCTAACCACTTGGCTGTACATCTGAAACTAACATAAAATGATACTCAATGCAGACTGTACTTGAAAAATAAATCATTTAGGTTTCACTAAGAAATTGAGAATAATCTTTATTTTAAAAAATCAGTTTAAGAGAATATTGTTAACTAACCGCTCACAAATATCTTGAAATTCTGTGGCAAGTCCAAATAGATCCTCGTTTCTCCACCTTGGACAGACTCTGCTTTTCTAAATTCATCTCCATCATAAATACTCGCCAGGGCCAGCAATTCATCCTCCTGAGCTTCTCGGTCTTCTGCCGACATTTAATTTTCTGAGGAGCTAAAGACAATTATTCAAATCAGTTAAGAATAGGAAAGGCTGAGTTTAGAAAAGTCTAGTAGCACACAAACACTCATACACAAAAAACTTCCTCAGAAAGAAGTGCAAAGGATTAGTCAATATTCTCACTATCCTGCTAAACTAAAAAATGAAAGGCATGTCTAATCTAGTAGTTTTGCAATAGTAACAGCTTTTTTTCAAGAAGAATGACAGAGGCGCTTCTAACTGCTGACTTTATCAGTTAGTATGACTAATTTAGGGGGAAAAGCATAATGTAAAAAATATTTTAAGGACAAATCCCAAATTAGTTTGGCTTGTCCACTAAACCTAGCAACATGCCCTGCCCACAAAAGAAGTCACAGTATATTTGATATACTTTTAAAAAAGAAATTAATTTTTTATATCCAGGTTTTCTCAACCTCAGCACTATTGACTTCGGAATAAGTAATTCTATGTTGCAGGATGCTGTCCTCTGTGTAGGATGTGTAACAGTAGCTCTGGCTTCAATTCGATAGATAACAATAGCATGCCTTTCCCTCAAGAGTTGTAACAATAAAAAAAAAAAGAGTTGTAACAATCAAAAATATCTGGACACCTTAACCGGTTTGGCTGAGTGGATAATGCGTTGTTGGCCTAAGGACTGAAGGGTCCAGTCAATGGCATATGCCCAGATTGTGGGCCACTTCCCAGGAGGGGGCATACAGGAGGCAGATGATCAATGATTCTCATCATTGATGTTAAAAAACAAAACAAAAATATCTGTACATAGTCAAATGTTCCAAAGGGGCAAAATTACTCCGTTTAGAACACCGTGTTCTAGAAATGTTATAGGCACAGATGCTAAATAAGAGATTTAGGTAACTAAGGAAGCTGCAAAGTAACATTAAATTTAGGAAATAATACCAAATTTTGTCAAATCAAGTTTAAGATTTATCATTATTTTAGGTGACACAAATATGCTACAATTAAAGTGCGAATCAATGCTTTTAAATCACAGTGACTAAAATATACACAATTTCAGAGAACTTAAATGTAAAAAAAAATATGAATGAGAATCTATGGAAATAGTTTAATCAAAACAACAACAAAAATTTACCATCCTGTCAATTAAAATATTGGGACTAAAAATGCACTTACAAATATTCTCCCCCTTAACAAAAATTTTTTTTATTGAAATGTACAAAACTAAGTTAGGACATGGCTTTTCACATTATAAAAGGTGACACTACAAAATTTATACAAATTCATTTAAAACAATGACACTTTCAAAAAATAATTTTGTTCCAACATATGAAAATGGTTCTGCTTATGCTGCATCCCTATCTAAGACAATGACAAGTTCCATTTGAGGTCAGTTAGTACCTGTTAATAATAACAACAAAAGAATATGAACACTGCAGTCTATTTCAGTTCAGAGTCTGGAATTCATGCAAATATCCCATTTATTCTCCAGACGATGGAGATGAGACTGCTGAAGTTGGATAAGAGACCAAGAAGTGGAACTCATACTAGATATACTATAGAAATCCTGCCATCTACAGAAAAAAAAGAAAAAAACACACAAAAATGGTATTAGCACCCTCTCCAAATTTAAATTCTGAATTTCCATTATTGCCACTTAAATCAAACACAGTCAATCCTAATCTGCATACTCCTCTCCCAGAACAGCCTGAGTCACATGGTTAAAGGGGCATTTACATGTATCCAGCTGAGAGAGGTCTTATCTGACATTTTCAGGCCTGGGAGGAGCTGAGAAGGACCGTCAAGGTAATGAGGCAAGTCTTATCTTATTGACTTCAGCCTTGGGAGGAGCTGAGAAAGACCGGTCAAGGTCATGAGAGGAGAGTGTATCACAAAACCTTTACAAACATCTACAGTGTTTGTTTCTCCAGCATCCACCACGAGACCCACTGAGTTAGCCCGCTTGTTGTTGCAAGGGATGGCAATGTCCACACAGCACAGGGGAGAAGCTATGTAACACAGAGCAATGGTGGCAGGTTAACATAAGACGCCTTTGTGAGGGGCTGGTGGTCACCCCTGGGATCAGAAGTCTTGGCTCCAATGGCTGCTTGGATGTGGTTAGGGAAGGTTCCAGCAGTGAAGTGCCCAGAAATAGGAGTGGGTCCAAGGGCAGCTGCAAACTTCAGCAGAGCTCATGGACCGGCGTTCCTGGATGATATGACACGGACATCATATCAGTTTTCAATGGTGACAATGGCACCAGCTGCCAGCAAAAGCTTCTCCCAGGTTCTCTTCAGATTTATGATGCAAATGCCATCACTTTTCCTTTAGTAGATGCACTGTTCCATTTAAAAGTCAAGATTGGTGCCACCTCAGTGGGTTCCTGCTGCAAGGAGTTTGAGGACATCCTCCTCCTTCATTTGCAGGACGTCAAGGGCTTTGGCCATTGTGGAAGTTTCCCTTTAAGCTGCGTGGGAACCAAGAGCAATGCTGTATGGGCCCCCTAAGGGTAGCAAGGAAAGGCTACATTCATGCTAAATGCTTTAGACCCCTAGCTGGTTTAGCTCAGTGGAGAGAGCTAAACCAGACTGGGGACTGAAGTGTCCGGGGGTCGATTCCAGTCAGGGGCACATGCCCAGGTTGTGGCCTCGATCCCCAGCTGGGGGCGTGCAGGAGGCAGCCGATCAATGATTCTCTCTCATTATTGATGTTTCTATCTCTCTCTCTTCCTCTCTGAAATCAATAAAAATATGTTAAAAAATAAAATAAAATAAACAAATAAAAAAATAAATGCTTTAGAGCCTGGCTTCTGAGCTGGAAGTGAGGGTAATGGGCCCATAGATGAGTTATGGAGAATCCTATGAACATCCCAAAATTATATGCAAAAGTATGATATGAAACCATAATTTTTAAAACAGATTCTCAGATGTATGACTCTCAAATAAGCTATACATGAAATTCAGAATCAATTTACATTTACTGAGCACCTACTATGTACTGTATTAAAGTCCTTTCAAATGACGCTATTTAATTTTAAACAATTTTACCAGATGTAGTAGTAATTAAGCTGAACATAATTAAGCTGTTTGTTCCTATTTCAATACTTACAAATGGGGTGAGAGATGAATTTATAGTTTCTGGTTTTAGGTTAGTTTGCTCCATAATGTCTGCACATTAGAGCCACCTGAGCAATTACACCAGGAATCAGTGATCTTATGTGCAGCCAGGATTGAGATCTACTCCACGCAGTCTCCCATCAACTGTTCCTCATCATCTACCCCACCACACCCCAGCTTCTGCAGCTGCCATGGGGGCCCCAGTTCTTTAATTCAGGTTGCTGACCTACATTCCCTTCCGATTCTATCCACTTAGCCTTCCAGACCCACCTCCAAAGCCTCTAGTCTATGTAGAAATTTCTAGTTAGGTGTCATGCCTGTCTAGAAATCCAGCAAACTTTTTAAATACAACTTTCCTGCGATACTATCTGGGGGGCTGAAGCCCACCTTGCGTTTCAATCGTTTGCACTTTCTCACCTACCAGACAGTACACGTTCCTTAAGAGTGAGAATCAAGTCTTTTGCGTGTATGTATTGTTCTCAGCATCTGGCAGTGCCTTGCATTAGACACTGGAAAAAATGAGAAGTGAATTGGAGTGAGATGCAGTGGGCTGACATGGGGGAGCCAGAATCACACAGCTCAGTAACAGCTCTGCCACATCCCACTAGAAGCAGGGACTTGGAAGTAGACAAAGGGGAGGAAATGGGGACGAACACTTTGCTTGAGGTGATGGACCCACGATGCAGTGTGCAGATGACGTTTTACTGAGCTGGACACTTGAAACCTGTATGGTTTTGTAAACCAATGTCACCCCTAATAAATTCAATTAAAAATATTATGTCAATAACTCAAAAACAACAATAACAACCCAAACCAGCAACAACAGTTAGAACCTGGTGAGCTCTTACCGTGGGTAAGCCCTTCAAATGCATTAACTCCCGTTAGCGTCCCACAAGCCAGGAAGCAAGTCCTATCACTAGCTCCATTACACAGAGGGGGGAAAATGGCATTTTAAGTCCTTTTCCGGCCCAAGGCCATACAGCCAATAACCTAACTACATCTGGGTTCACCCCACCTCGTTTCTTCACCTGTCACACGGGACCCAGAGTAAATCCTGGCGCAATCAGACAGGATCTCATTCCAGCGTAACATTAGTTTTGGCAAACTGGAAACCGCTACCCCGGGGAGGGGAGCCCCTCCTCCGCGGCTCCCCTGCGGCCCGGGAAGATCTGCTCCCTCTCCCGGGCCACACCCTGGGGATCCAGAGCAGGAGTCCCCCCGGCTCCGGAACCCGAACCCGCACGCCGCCGCCGGGGTCCCCGTCGCTCAGCGACCGGCGTGCCGAGTCGTAGTCCGTGCGACTCACCTACACCCGGGAGCAGGCCCGAGCCTCGCTGTCCGCCCCAGCGCCGGGCACGGGGCGCGGTGCGGCCGCGGGAGGTCCCGGAGAAGCCGGGACCGGACCCTTCGGTCTCTCGGCGCCCTGGGGCGGGGCGCGGTCTCAGCCGGGCCGGACTGGGGGCGCCCCGTCCGGTGTCTGGGGGGCTGGAGCCCGCTGAGCTGCCCCGGCCCGGCCGCCCTTCTCGGGTCTCGCGTGCCCCGAGCGCTGCCTCCAGCGTCCCTTCCGGCGAGCCTACCGTGCTGGGCCCGAAGGTTCCGCCCTCCGCCCTAGCCCGAGGCCCCTCCAAGTCTCTGGCCCGACCGGTCCGGAGACGCCCGGCTCCACCTGCGCACCGCCTCTTCCGCCTCAGGAGCTGTCAGCTGAGCCAGGTGGATCCGGCTGCGGCGGCCCGGCGCGAGGACCGCTTCTGCGCAGCCGCAGCGGCCGCCCGGTCCCCCCTCGGCCGCCCCCCGCAGGCGGAAGGCTGCGCTGCAGGCGGGACCACCCTCCCTGCTACCACACTGCCCAGAAACACTTACTATGCGTGCGAAGAAGTTGATACAAATGCAGATCTGAGACCCGGTGCCCAGCGGGCTCCTTTCAGCAGTGCTGGGGTAGGGCCCAGGAATTAGAATTTTTACCAACCCCAGAGGGGATCGCGAGGCAGCGGTGTACATGAGGCACACACACCATAAGGATCCTAGACTTGCTCCTCCGGAGAGACTTAAGCAAGCCTCCTCGCCCTTCTCTGATCCCAAATACCTTCTTAGAAATGCTGCCTATCTTTCTGGCACCTCCACGTTGAAAGTATTCACTCACTGTTCATTTTGTAACAACAATAACATAGGAGACAGGCTTCTGTGTAGAATGATTTCTGCAGCATAGTCAACTTTTAGAAAAGAAACAGCCTGTGGGTTACTGAATTTCTCCAGGGCAAACAGGATGGGGGTGGAGGAGGAATGGAAAGGGTATGAACAAAAAAACTGTGCCCTTGATTAATAGCACATTTTCCAGGAAGATCCGCCTAGGCCAGTGGTCAGCAAACTGCAGCTCGCGAACCACATGAGGCTCTTTGGCCCCTTGAGTGTGGCTCTTCCAACAAATACCACGTGCGATTGAAACTTTGTGGCCCATTTGCAGAAGTCGGTTTTCGGCTCTCAAAAGAAATTTCAATCGTTGTACTGTTGATATTTGACTCCGTTGACCAATGAATTTGCTGACCACTGGCCTAGACAAAAGGAGGTGGAGACAATTCGAAAAGACCTCAGTTCATTTTTTAAATAACCCAATTGGAGAGCCGAAAACTGATTTCTGCGCATGGGCCACAAAGTTTCAATTCCACTGTAAGAGCGCACCGCATGTGGTATTTTGTGGAAGAGCCACACTCCTGGGGTTAAAGAGCCGCACGTGGCTCTTGAGCAGCGGTCAGCTAGGTGACGTATGGGGAGAGACTGTTAATTCCTTAGTATTCAGCCAATGAGAAGGGACTCTCCCACCATAGAGTTAAATTACCTGTGATCACTGCTCTGTGTGTGTCTGCCTGCCCACAGACACCGGCTCCCCAGAACTTAGTGACAGTCTGGTTTGCCATGCTTTATGTCTTCAAGGCCAGTTATTTGAATTCGGACAGGTGAGAATGTCTCACAATAACTACTGAGCAATTAAGATGCTTTAAGCACTGTGCTAAGTGTTTTATGAACATTGTCTTCACTATAACCTTACGACTTAGGTACTATTTGTTATTCCCACTTTATAAATGAGGAAACTGAAATTTAGGTTCAAAAATTTACCAAGGGGCACATGATTATTCAGACACTGAGCAGGAATTAAAATCACATTTCCCCTACCTCATGCCATATATAAAAATTAACTCAAAAAGGATCAAAGACCTATAGGTGAGAGTTAAACTAAGTATAAAACTCTTAGAAGGAAATGTAGGAGTAAATCTTCATGAACTTGGATTAGGCAATAATTTATTAGACATAACACCAAAGCACATGCAACAAAAGAAAAGTAACTTGGATTCACCAAAATTAAAACTTTTATGCAAAAAACAAACAAACAAACAAAAAAACCAAGCCCCGCTATCAACAAAGTAAAAAGACACTTCACAGAATAATTACAAACCAAATATCTGATAAAGGTCTAATATCCAGAATACATAAAGAACCTGTACCACTCAACAATAAGAAGACAAATCCATTTAAAAATGGGCAAAGGATATGAGTAGCAATTTCTCCAAAGAGGATATACAAATGGTCAGTATGTACATGAAAAGATGCTTAACATCATTAATCACCGGGGAAATACAAATCAAAACCACAAAGAGAAATGACTTCCCATTCATTAGACTGGCTATAATACAAAGACAGGTAAAAAAAAGTTTTGCTGAGTATGTGGAGCAATTAGAACACTCATCACTGCTGGTGGGAATGTAAGAATTTTGTAAGTTGCTTTGGAAAATAGTCTGACAGTTCCCCAAAAAGTTAAGTATAAGATACAATAAGACCTCCTCCTAAATATACTCAAGAGAATTTAAAACATATGTTCCCACAAAAACCTGTACACAAATATATAATTTTATAATGATGTGTTATGGCCATTTGAATACTAGAGGCCTGGTGCGCAAATTCATGCATGGGTGGGATCTCTCAGCCTGGCTGGCGATCAGGGCCAAGTGGGGCCCGCCTTGGGGAGGAATCATTGGAGATTGGCCAGCTGCAGGAGGTTGGCTGTGGGAGTGCACTGATCACCAGGGATCAGATCCTGCATTGAGCATCTGCACCCTGGCAGTCAGTGTGCATCATAGCAACCAGCTGTTCTGGTCAATTGGTCATAATGTTTGCTTAGGCTTTAATATATGTAGATAGTGTACACAAATAACAGCAGTATTCACAAAAGCCAAAAGGTAGAAACAACTCAAATGTCAATCAATGGATAAGTGAGTAAACAAAATGTAGTATATCTATATGATGGAATATTACTCAGCTGTAAAAAATAACTAAGTAGTGATACATGCTACTGAATGAACCTTGAAAACATTATGCAAAGTGAAAGAAGTCAGACACTAAAGATCACATAGTGTATGATTCCATTACATATATGAAAAGTTCAGAATAGACAAGTCCTTACAGACAGAAAGTAGATTTGTGGCTGCCAGGTGCTAAGGCAGGAGGGCTTGAGAAGTGACTGTAAATGGAGATGAGGTTCTTTTTGAGGGTGAAAATATTGTGGAATTTGATAGTGATGATGGTTGCACAACTTTGTGAATGTACTAGAAACCACTAGATTGTGTCCTTTTAAAGGGTGAATTTTATGTGAATTATATCTCATTAATTTAGGTACTAAGCACATTTAAGTGGGATGCTGAGATGTTGGTTTTTACTTCTGGGACCAGCTCTTGGTCTAATGATGTGTTATGGCCATCTTGAATTCTTAACAATTTTCAAAAGAGGCTCTACATTTTAATTTTGCACTGTGCTTCAGAGATTCGAGATGATGGAGTTGAAGGCTAGGAGAGGATGGGGTGTGTGACCTTGGCCAGAGGTCAAGACCCAAGGCATTGAGTAGAGAAGCAAGAGGCAGTCACAGACTATGTCTGATACTGCAGGTACTATGTTGGGGTCAGCAGGCCTCCATCGATGCCTGCACTTGTTCTCATCCATTGTGTTCAGAGACTTTGCTGAGCTTCTTCCACCTGCCCACTGGGGACAGCCTCCTTTTCAACGGCCATCACTCACAAGCACCCCTGAAACAAGCCCTGACATGGAGAGGGGCACCAGTGTGGAAGGGAAAGCCCTGCCCCAACTCTGGGAGAGCAATGGAATGGGGAGCCCACCCCAGTACAGAAGTGTCACCGACTTCCTGCTAGTGTCCTGTCGTTGTGTATCTGCTCACCCTCTAGATCTTAAAAGTTTCACTATTATCACATGAGAATCTGGGGGGAAAAAAATTGTTTTTTCTTAAAATAAAAAAAGCTACTACACTAAAAGAACAATTATAAATGACTATCAAAGTGCTAACTCATGTCCCAGGTTCTGCTCTAAATACTGCGCATTGTCTAAGCTAAACTTTCCAGTAGCCCTAGCAGGGGTCCTCAAACTTTTTAAAGTGGGGGCCAGATCACGGTCCCTCAGAGAGCTGGAGGGCCAGACTATATGAACTACTAATTCCTACTGTAACACCTCGGCTGCGCTCACTGCCCAAAAAACCTGGCGGGCCGGATCAGACTCCTCTTCGGGCCGCATGTGGCCCGGGGGCCGTAGTTTGAAGACCCCTGCATAGCGTAGTTACTGTCATCAACATCCCTATTTTAAAGCTAAGGAAACTGATCACAGAGAAATGAAGTGACTTGCCACTGGCACACAGATGGTGAATTACAGAGCCAAGCTTTGAACTGGGCAATTGGAGTCTAGAGCCCACATCATTAACCCCGAGGCTATGCTTAAATCAAGTTAATACTTTGCTCAAGGAGAGTGGTCAGTGAGGTTTATAAAGAGAAATAACGAGATCACCTCCTGACCAGCTTCCTGGTCAGTGCAGCTCCAACAGTACTTCAGGTCATCCCAGGGTTATATAAAACAGACTCCTAAAAAGGCTTGAGGTGGCTGACAGGATGAAATGTTCTCTGTGCTCCTGAAGCAAGTAAAATTTGATTTACAGTAATAGGCACAGAATGATCATGTTTATACTTGCAACCTGGCATTTTATTATTATTCCCCTGAATAACAGTGGAAAGAGTTTTGTAACCCCAAGGTAACACGGCTCTGAAAGAAGGAAAGAGGAGTGAGATTTAGCAGCAGCTGCCATCATAAATCAGTGTGTGGTTGCTTCTCTCGGAGCTCCAGGCTCAACTCCTGGCTGTCATAAACTAATAAAGGGAAGCCCCAGGAGAATTAATGTAATGACAGGAAGACTCATTTTCCTTCCTGCAAGACTTACCTTTCTAAAGCAAGGTGAGAATTAGGTAGGCTAGATTCTGTGAAGAAAGAAAACCAGACCAATGGTTTGGAGGAGGGAAAATGTGGGTCAACTTCAGCTACTTCCCTTGCCAAAAGCAATAGAAAAAATTGGCCTTATAAATGCTGAATTCCACCAAATAAATGAGAGGCTGAATGACAG